AATTGGGGGATTTAAAACGGGGGGCAAAAGTGACTTTGGAACGGGACGATAAGGTGAACTATGGTAGGAAGAGGAATTTGCAGACGGGTTAGCTTGAGCAGTAGCATTCAAACCCCTATCCACGCTGTTCGATGCAGCAGATAGGGTGCCGGTTATTATAATCTGCAACGTCAGAGCATCAAGGAATTGTTTAAGGAAAGGTTCATAGTATTGCGTACGCATGATACTGTCAAAGTGCCCAGGCCTAGACAGGAGAACCATTAAAGTTTTCAACCAAAGCCTTTGGTTCAAAAACTTGACCGCAAGACGACGACTGAGGCAGTGGGACACAAGGAGTCTGCTATAAGGAATAAGAAGCCACCTTCACTCCAACCTACCACTTGGAGATCCAGGGGACTGAGCTTTTTGGCCTGGTACCATTGACAAATCTGGTATCAGTGGCTCAGAAGGTGAAGGAAAGCACCCCCCAGCATGGTTCAATGAATCTCTGAGACACGCAAACCATCGCACCACGGTAAGGTCCAGTCTTTTTCGATGCGTGCATCTCGTTTAGACATCGCTGATAGATGGTTGCTAACTCTTCAGCTAAACACGTAGCGGATAGTTTCAACGTCTTTGGACAAATGCCGTGCGTATCAGGCTAGGTGTACTCGCGCAAGGAAATCAGCCATTCCAGCACAATTGTGGTTGTAAAGCATACGTGGTTTAGGTCTGACAGCTGCATGTTCTACGTAGGTACAATGTCACAAAAGTGTACATTTTAGTAAGTACGGCCAACTTCTCAAAGAATGTTGGTGCTCTCTTGTGCCGTAGGTGCTAACCCGCGTACTATATGCAGAGCAGAAGTAACGCACTTATCCCTGCAAAGAATGTCTACGTGTCTGCATAGTAGCCTAGGTTAAGAGCAAACTTTATCAACAGGTCTTTTTGATATTTTATTCGCCCGAACTAGTTTGAAGCAGTGATTCCTTTGTATCCTCGCTCGGAGAGTTTATCTGGGCAAGCCATGACACGCCCCACAATGTCACGCAGTTCTTAGTTCTGCCCGTTAGGAACGACCATCTTTCTCGGTAGGTGGATTATGTTTTCTGATGTGCTAGTCACAAGCACGTTGATTCTGTTGACTAATTACCCCCAGGCCATCTACGGCGACAATTCAGCTAGGAAAGATAAGCTTATTGCATTAATGCGGTCCGACAGCTTATCGTCTTTGACTACGACGTGAGATTCGTCGCTACTTCTTTAAATTAATCTACCTAGCACGTGTAGTGGAACACTACTGTCTCATGATCGCTGGGGTCCAAATAAGTGCATGTTGTTACTACATCGATCATGAGTTCCTCGTTTGTGTGAACGAGATCAAAGAGGGCCGGTTTGTTTCCTGTCCTGAGACACGTTGGGGAAGTGACATGGTTGTAAAGCCGTGAACGGGTGATTAGATTTTGCAGTTTCTCTAACTTGGAACATGTTTGGAACCAATCGGGAAGTCATTATTTCAGAAAACTTTGGTAGACGACCGGTTAATATATTTATGGTGCCGCACAATGTTTCGCTTTTGACACAAAAGCTTTTTTGTCAAAAGGGAAGCGTTGTGTTTCGCCATGAATATATTAACTGGTCGTCTACCAAGTATTCTGAAAAATTGCAGTTTCGCCTTGAATTGCCCACCGCGCGTGACCGGGGTTTCTATGGCTAGGATATCGGAGCGTGCAAGTTGGTTCTCTGTATCCGAACCTAGGGCCTGGTCCATTTCTAACGTGGACATTTGTGGGCCGTATACCATGGGCATATATCACCTTGCCTAAGGTGTAGCCAACACGATAAGGCGTCTGCGGCTTAAACCCCTGGGTCTTTTAGGTTATCGATGAGTAGATCGCAGCGGTTGTAAAGAATTACACCGCCTTCATTAGTGGGTCGGTCTTTGCGGAAGAGTGATGTACCAGGTAGCGCAAACTCGGCGTCGGTAATCACGTCGTCCAGCCACCTCACGGTTGCAATGATGAGGTCTTAGCACACTGAGGTTTGGCGAGCCCGAATCTTGGCCAGTTTATTCAGTAGACCTTGTGCGTGACAGCGACACACTACCGGGAAAAACCACGTTCTGCATGATTGGGGTCACTGGAATAGGAAAACCCTGATTGCCCGCCTATTCGCTAGCTCCGCGGTTGCGGTTGCTGACTTTACAGTGTTAACTAAACACTTGTTTAACTCCTCTGTTCCAAGTTTGAGCATAAGTTTAGGCAACGGGAATCGAGTTCTGCTGCAGCATGCTGTGCAATCGCTGTTAGGTTGTCAGATTTCCGTGCCAGCACGGAGCTGCATCTTATCCTTAGATTGATCACGACTATATACAGAACCAAACAGAGTCGGGTGTGCAATGCCGTTCTTCCAATTTCGCTACACTTAAACGTATGCACTTGGGCTGGATCTTCAGCCAGCAGTAACAACCTGTCATTCCGATTGAAATACTTTCGGAGCACGATTTCGCATAGCACGGAACTGCTGTCTGGGACTACATAAACAATGAACAGTGAATTTAGACGGGTTAAGCAGCGTTGCTTTACAAGTTCTGTTGGATAGTTAGTGGGGATATCAACATAATCATACTGATGATAAGGATAGTAAAATAGTTAATACTTTAAGTATGAAAATGAGGACTTATCTTTTGCTCCGCTATCGTTCTGCGATCCTCTTAGATTCACAGCACTCACAGTAAACAACAAATAATTCCATGATATACTCCACTTGTAGGATGGAGACGTAGTGTTAAGTAACAAAGTGTAAGTGAATGAGTGCATCGTCCAACCGTCTTTTAAATACTGTTAGTGTCGGTGCAGAGACTACCGATCCTGGGAGAGCACTCCACGGGTGACAGACACGGATGGAAAAGAAATTTCTGCGGCGCTCCAGACGACTGTATTGTTCTGCGAGTTTTAATGAGTGGCCCCCTCAGATTTGACCATGTATACACTGCGTTGCCTGTTGCTATGTTTCTTATCCTGCCGCAGCGTCAGCCACGTGGGTAAATTGCCTTTTCTTTTTGGTTGTCCGCGATCAACAGACGGAGCAAGTTGAGACAGACACACAACTGCGGTTGACCATGCCCCTCGAGCGGGACAGCAGTTGTGACCAAAGCCGACGAACGTGAACGCGCGACCTTCCTGGGATAGGTAACCGGCGCATAGCTACCTGTCAAGTCTGACTTCTGCTTGGTGGAAAGTCGAGCTTAGATGAGCCTGGTAGCGTCTACAATAGTTTGGCGCCTGTTTAGTTGATGACTGCTAAATGAGCTGTAGGTATCAAACAGAATATCGGATCCTCTTGGTTAAAGAATCGCTAAGAGCACTCTGTCGAATGAGGGTAAAAAGGATGGCACCAACTCGAAGTTAACTTTGTTGCGCGCCTGGATTTACGTGAAAATGCCGTTGAAATTGCAGTGTGAGATGAAACGGTTGTGTGTGTTAGACAATGTTGTAGTAGTAGACCTACTGGATAGCGCTGGTAAATCCGAGTTGGCTAAATCTAAGTGTAGTACTGTAATTCGAGAATTGTGGGTACTAAATCCAAAAACACAAGAGCCACGTGTCAGTGCGACCACACGGCAGGAGCGACAAGTAGATAGGCCGGAGGTTATGTGTTGTGAGCTGCATACTTTAATTATTGCACTATTATTTGGCTAAAGTAGTTTCGGGCTATTGAAGTGGGAACTACGGAGGCATGGAACAATTTAACACCACTTGCTTTTCCAAACACATGCCCGCCGACAAATCGCTTAATTTGTCACTTATATGCTAACTTTACTATAAAGTTTAAAACGATCCAATTTGTTGTCTGCATGTGCTCTTCGTAGTCAGAATTGCTGATGTAGGCGAACGAACTCAGAAACATTCATTTTCAATGGCAAGACACGGTGTCCCAGCTAAAATGCCACTTTGTCGCTTCTCATGAAAATGTATTATCTTGTGCTATCTGGACGTGTACTGGGAAATAATACTTTTATTGAGGCCGCCGAAGTTACTGTACTTTCCGCATTTTAGGCCATATGGTACATCTCACCAATCGCCTTTTGCAATGCAAGAATCCCGCTGTACTTAAACTAGAAAGATTAACGCGAACTGATGACAAGGCTATGCAAAACGCCTTGAGGCGATACATGTCAAGCTGGGAAGATTACCAGAAATTCATCTCTCGTGTAGATAGCTGGTATACAAAACATGAGAAGAAATATCTCCGGTACATGGCGCTATATGGTAGAGAAATTCTGACTGAAACGGAATTCAAACGAGCATTCGGAGACTTGAACGCACCACTCAGCGAGTTGGAAGTACACACACTATATCAAATGCTTGACCCACATGGATCAGGTGAAGTCGATTACACGAAGCTGTATGAAGCAATTTGGCTGACATTGGCGGATAAGTTTATTGCCGACGAGAGCTTGTACACGATGGGGCTTGAGCAGCAGAACAAATGGTTGTTGTTGACATTCAAAGTGCCGAGTTGTGAACCATTCGATATGCCAACGACTTTCGAGCAACTGGTTGACTTAAGTTACACAGGCGCCATGTTGCGTGCCATTATTCAGAACAGAATACCATGTATTCCAAGCAGATCTATTGTCATTTTCACAGATGTTTCACGCTATGCGGAGACCATCATTCATTGCAGTCAGCAGCTGTATGATTCCCCTTATGTAGGTGGTCCGAAATGTGCACCGGAAGAGGCTGTGATTTATTACGAATTTTCAATGGGCCGTGTAGACTGTCCGCTTTTAACAAATCTTCGCCTAACTGATGAAATCAAGAAAACTACGGAAAGTCAGACGGAAGACACGGCACGCTCTACCAACCAGGGACAGTCCAGCTGTTTTTAGTCCTCGCAGTATTCGTTGGTAGTTGTTTGAGCTAATGGACAGCGATTCATGCATCCAAATTTTTCGATATTTGACCAACTACTACAGTGGTAGTGGTTTTTTACGATCATGTGTAAGCGTGTCGACCATTTAGAGTTTTCACCCAATGCCGCTCCACCAGTACGGCCAGGATGTACTGCTCAAACTATCGGAGGTCTCGTGCAAAGCAGGATTAGGCAGTGCTAACTATTTAGCTTCTGATATCACAAAACTGTCACGCTTTGTGATAAAATGTACATTTTTATCTTGCTTGCATTTTCAATGAAAGCTGAGAGGATAGTGTTTCTGAATGAAAGAAATTGCTTGGGTATTGGTTCGTCCGTAACAGGGCATAGGTAAAGAGCTTGTGCAAAAATCGAATATCCAGGATCCGAAGGCAGTGGTTTTGACTAAACAGTATTCATGCTACTTAAGAAATAATGAGGAAATTACTGACTGCACATAAAAGAAAGGGTAGTCCAGACACCTTACTGCAATGTACAAAATCCATGACCATGGTCTTGCTACAGGTAATTAAAAAATTGATCTCTGGCTGCAGAAATGGTGTTATAAATCACCGTTCGACATCACTTGGTCGATACATGTTTAGCCAAGCAATTTGCTCCTCGATCTCTGGCCGCGTGTGAGTATTTGCTGATCATTCGCAATCCCTCATCATCACCATTAGTGTGAGAAAGGGTTGCCCCTTATTACCCTACTTATTTAACCGTTATGCATGGCACCTTGGAAGACCGTGCGCCTAGTGGTGTCGAGTTGCTCTCGGGTGAGTAGATTAGTTAGTTGGAGTATGTAGATGACATCGCTGCCAGTTGTGGTTCTTCACAGGCTGTCTAGGATATGCTGCGCATAGTTGAGAGGAATATAGCCTAATCCGGAACGACCTTCATCCTTTAAAAGTGCAAGGGCTTTTCACAGCTGTCAAGGACTACCCCTCACCTTACCTTCTCAGGCTCTATTTTTGACTTGTTCGACAGGTTCGTTTGCCTTAGAAGCTGTGTTAGCTTGAGCGGATAAGTGGATGAGATCTCGTTGCGAACCTCTAAAGTAGGAGCAATCTTTGCCAACCTTCGACATGTCACGCAACGGTGTGCCCCCAGCCTTCCATAAAAAGGCCGAGAATTCAAAGCAACCGTACCAGGAATGTTCCGCTAGGGATGTGAAAACTGGCCCGCTTGCGCTACGTAGTGTTTTGATAACCTCTGCCTCTAGAGCATCGCTGATATATGTCAGTTGCACCACCTCCATGATGATAAACTTCAACGTCAAACATTCAAAGTACGCAGTCTTTGCTAAACGCTGAGCTTCCTAGTGTTTTTGCACAGACCTCGATAGCCGTACGACTGTGCTTCGTATGACTGCTCAGTGATCACCTTACTTCAAGTACCACTTCCGCAGCGGTGTTAGCTAGAGACGACGTAGATGTGGTTAACACACAGAGGTAAGCTGTTACCGTAGAGCTAGATGGCAAGCAACAGGTCATTGAGGACTTCTACTCCTGCCAGTCATTCCCACTGTATTACTTATCTGAATGCCGGAAGTGTGGCATCAGTAGTTTTAGTTATTTTGTAATTGTTTCCGGGTCTCAGCCGTTTTAGCCGTATTTTTGGCATCCGGTTAACAAGCTCCAAACCGTGCTTTCAGAATAATCTGACACAGACACTGTAACCGCTGTGGCCGAACATCAGACGGGTAGGAAGTACTTGAACTCCGCAAGACCATCTGATTCCAATCATGTGCTCAGATGATTGGCATCATGATCACAAGTTAATTTATCTAACCAATTGACTTCTTGTAATAAGAGCGATTACATAAAACCTTGTTCTACCGTATATTAAAACATAAGCCTGAGGATGAATCAATCCAAAATAATTGTCTGTTTGAAGCGTGGTGCTTTTGCTTCTCTTTCTGAGCTTTACGTAATAAATGGGCAGCATTCAGTAGTTAAAACGCAGCAACTGCGCTCAGGCAACCAATAGTGAGAGGATAATCCGGACGCAGTTAATTCAATAACCCGTGTGGACCGTTTATCCTAGTTTCGGATATGCAGCAGACCTCAATACGCAAGGTGTCTAAAGTAAGTGCGAGGACAGCCTGTTGAACTGTTATCTCAGAGTTCGAACGTTGAATGCCACAAGGGAAGCAGGACAGCGTGGTCTTATAAGACGAACTGCCCGCAGCAGTTCGTCTTCGCAACTCCCTGAGTGGAGTGCACATATTACCCGGTGTATATTGGAAAGATCGCCCAAAAGAAGCAGTTGGCCAATGCGGCATTCCTAATATGGATAGCAAGAAAACAACATTCCTTCATGGTGTTCTCGAACTTCTGCATTCTTCCGATCACGATGCGCAAACACATGACCGAGAGCAGTGGTGCCACATCCACGAAGCACTCTCTCTTGACAATGTCATTGCCAAATCCTTGACAAGAGTTCCATCATCACCTAACTACAAGCGCTGCGGTCCAAGAATAATGAAACTCACATTACACTCCGAGGGAATGACGCAAGTTCTGTTTGATAACTGGTCAAAGTTTCGAGCCAGGTTGCCAACAGAGATCCGGCTAAAGGCAGCAGGCGAACGATCAAACGTCGTAAGCAATTCGATGGAACTTGCAAACACTGCAAATTCTTTAGCTGCACAGTCCTGCGGAGAGACCGACATAACAGCACCCACGACACACAACAGGACAGAGCCAAGTACGAGGGAAACTTGTGTTCAGGAACGCTCAACAATGCTGTGCAACGTGACTGAACTACATAAATCAAAAAAGTGATTAATGGCCTGCCACCTAACGGCCGGCTTAAAAAATAACACAGAGTTGACATCCAACAACGCATTCCTAACAATATAAACCCTATCTTGTATGTACACAAACGCGCAAGGCCTTCTAAGTAAGTTGGCCAATCTTAGAAAACTCCATGTCTCACAACCGCGCTATCTCGTCATGATTACAGAGACCTGGTTTTACCTTCAGATAACTGAGTCTGAGATGAATTTACCCGGTAGGTCGCTGCTTCGTAACGATAGAACCGGAAGTGGTGGTGGTGTGATTTTTTATTATAATACAAACCTCCGATGTGAAGTTATCGATCACTCGGAAACCAGCTCTCCTGATTCGCTTTGGTGCCGCCTATGATTGCGAAACAAGGACACATATCTACTAGCCGTGATTTACCGCCCACCAAACTCAACGTCGGAAATGGACTCCAAACTGAACCAGGTCTTTCAGTTTACTTTGAATAAGTCCTACACCCACATTCTTATCGCCACAGACTTTAACGGGCACGACATAGAAACGCCAGCAACCGACGGTGTGCAGTTTAAAGCCTGCTTGCAAAAGCTAATTGCTAGCCACCCTCTTTACAACCACGTAACCACTCCCACCAGATTTCGAACTGCTAACAAGCCAGCGAGACTGGACCTTGTGCTCAGTAGCGAAGAACTCATGGTCGGCGGGATAGCTTCAAGCACTCCACTGGGTCGTACTGAACATGTTGCTCTACTCTGACTATATATGCTCTGCGGAATATCCTGAAAAGGAGGGTGATAAAGTGAATACGGTCACGCGCTATAATGTGTTATCTACGCTTGTTAATGGAACAATGGAACAATGGATTTATGCGGGTATAAAAGCTAAAGCTTGACAAATCCCGTCGGGTGATGAGTGCGAAAATCATAGAAGTGTGAAAAATTCAATGGAAAGCAATTCAGTAAAATCGTTTAACCACGAGTCACTACAAGCTTGTGGACTCACCGAGTTTGAAGTGTCAAAATAATAATCCACTATAACTCCGGAGGGGATCATGAGGTATGGAGTATTTGGTTAAAAGAGTCACCGTCCCTTGAAATTCGCATGGGGCAAAGTGTTTGAGTTTGAAGCGTCAAGATATAAATATAAATCCACTGTTGAAATTTGCGTGGGGGAAAATTAGTTTTAAAGTGTGGATTTTGGATCTCTCAAAATTAGACGGTACTATGGGAGATAGTGCAATGAAGTGAGTGCACTATCAACTCGATTTTTGAACTCGATCAGGTTGGGTGCACTGACTACAGATTTTGGGAGAGCATTCCAGGCTTGGCAAACACGCACGGAAAAGAAATTCCGTCGACATTTCAAACGGCTGTACTGCACTGCCAGCTTCAGATGATGGCCTCTCAGATTGTTGTTGTTACTGAGCTCCAGCAGATGGCGGCAGGTATGATTGGGGTCTGTCAGAATCTGATAAGCCAAAATCAAATCTCCCCGTAGTCGTCGATATTGACCACTAAATATCCCGAGCAACCTCAGTCTGTCTTCGTAGCGTAACTGGCCTAAACCTTTCACCTTCTTCGTTGCGCGTCGTTGAGGTTTCACTAAATCAGAGAGGTCTTTCCTCAGCCCCGGCTGCCAGACTAGTATTGCATACTCCACATGTGGTCGTATGTATGCACCTAGAAGTTGGTGAAAAACGGATGGATCGAAGCGTCCAAATGTGTGCCATAGGAGGCCCAAATTTCGAATGCTCGCGTTCGATGCTTTCTTTGCCTGGACTGAACAACCAAGGTCGGACTGAATTAAGACTCCTAAATCCTTTTCCTCAGCAGTTGTGTGAAGCACATGGTCACCCAGTTTATAGAAAAATGCTGATTGGTGACGTAAGTGTAATACTCTGCACTTTTCTGTGTTGAGTGGGAGTTAGTTCTGAACTGACCACGCATACACCTTATCCAGATCCTCTTGAAGTATTGCGGAGTCGTCTGGTGTATTGATCGCTCTCCAGACCTTGATGTCGTCGGCATAGAGTAGGCAGTTGGAAAGAATGAGGGCCGCTATGTCGTCAATATACATCAAAAACAATCGTGGCCCCAGTACCGATCCTTGTAGTACACCACATTCGACTTGGATTGGGTGGGACAGGGACCCACGCACTTTTACCTCTAAGCTCCGGTGGAGAAGAAAGCTTGTGATCCATCCTAGGAGC